ATGGAGTGGAGAGAGTATTTATATATGTTGTAAACAATAAAACAAAAAGCCGTGAGTTAAATTGAAACATATTAAACTCAGTAAACTAATATAAATCAACATATTCTATTATACCTATCAAATAAGATAGTAATCGTTGATTTCCTTATGAAAAATTTAAAACAAATTTTCTGAAGAAATTATTGAAGTTTTAAATTGTTTGGTGTAAATATGGAAAAAGCACAAAAATGTTTGAATAAATGTAAAATATTATAATCTTTGAAAATTTGGATATGTTAACGTAAGTCTATTCAAACTCAAAATATTTTTTAAAAAAATTTGTTTAACATGTAACAAAATCTAATTAAAAAAATAATTGTTTATATGATGATTTCGATGTTGTAAACAATAAAAAAAAATTGAGTTGGAAATTCTTTTTAATCGTCGTAATCTATCAAAAAAAGAATAGTCAATATTTTGTTTTTTATGAAAAAGCTAAAATAAAAATTTTGCGATCGACCCAACAAAACAAGCTTGAAAATTTCAAGAAAAAATAAAAAGGTGGAGTTGCATGTAAAAGGAAAGATTGAGGAAATTGATGAAGAAGACGATGAACCGGGTCGACCCGGTTTTAGGCTCACAATACCTTCGATTTTTTTTCCTTTGTTGAGAAACTTGAGAGGCTATAGAACATGCGATTGTCGTTAATGGCGGGTACTAGCATAACATGCCAAGAATTAGGAGTCATATTTTGGTCATTGTTACCAAAATTAGTAACCAATTTGATTTTAGGCTTGTAGCCTACATTATTACCTTGATCTCAATCAAAGGCTTTGATCGAGCCCATTAAAGAATCAAAAGCATCCTCAGGCCCAAAGAAAATCGAGCTCAAAGAGAGATTTCTCCTTCTCTAACGGGCTAAGCTCTGGTTCTGCTTTTGAAAATGAGTAGTGAGTACAATGGCTAAGAAATAGCTGTCAAGTCTCGTACGTTTTGGAATTATTTCGACCAAAAATAGACGAGTTGTTGAGTGACGCGTGTCTGGAACTTAGGTATAATTGTTGTTGTATAAAAGCAATATCTTTGAATCATTGGTAAACTCTACTTTCAGTCAGCTCTCACTTCTTGCTTATCTCACGAGAAATAAAACCTAATAACGAGTTCAAGCGACGCCCAGCTGCAGGATGGAAGAGAATCGAACGCTAATGTCCAAACCGAATCTCCGAGAAGAAGTGGTGTTCCTTCTGCTGACCAAACCGGAGTTCCCACTAATGTGCGAACCGAGTATCCGAGAAGAAGTGGCACTGCCCTCGTTTTAATCACGATTGATGAGATTGTTATTTCTCTAGTTGTTCCAATTTTTCAAACTCGGGATTTTAGTTTTGTTGTTGACTTTAAGAAGAAAAACGCGAAATAGTTTTTTGATTGTGGATTGCAATTTGAAATCGTGAGATGGTTTTCTCGTATCATGGTGTTAGTTAGAGTAAATTTAGGGTTCACAGTTTTGTATTTTACCTTTGAGACGATTACATCTCGTCTAA